GCAGTGTAAGCCATTCCTCTTCAGAAGAACCCCTCTGTAGCACATGTGTGAGCATGTCCATGCAGTACACACGCACCTGAGCGTACAGACATGCACACGTGTGTGAGTGCATGCGATGCTGAGCACATGGTGCATGTGCATTCATTCACACACATTAACACATGCAGACATGTGCATACAGGTTCACAGGATATGCACACTTGTGTAAATGCACACCCATCTACATCCATGTAGGTATGTACACATGCACACGTTTACACGAATGCACCATGCACACACGGGCACACGTGTGTTCAAAAGTGTGTCCACACATGTGTGAACTTGCACACAGTGCATCCACACAGGTGCAGACATGCATTTGGTACATGTGTGTGCAAATCGTGCAGTGTGTATATGTGGTGAGTGCCTGCGTGCCTGGCACACATTTACACACAGGTGTGCACACATGGATGCGTGGATTTGGTGCATGCATCTGGGTGTGCATAGGTGTGTCCACATGGGTGAGAGTGCACATGTGTGTGCACACGTGTGCGTGAGTGTGCATGCACGCATAAGTGGCACGTCACTCGGACTAGGAGTGTTCCGGGGAGCAGGAGGCTGTCCCGAGCGCGCCGGGTGCTGGTCCCCCCGGGTTTTGCTGGGGTGTGCCCGCAGCTCCCTCCCCATCATGCCTGTCTCTCTGTGTTCTGCCACAGTCACTGTGACGGTGCCAACCTCACTTGTGAGGCCTGCCTGCACCCCAGAGGCCTGGCGGGGCCCCCCACGGAGGCCCCAGCCGCTACCCCGACCCCGGACGTGGAGGACACGCCAGAGCCCCCGCTGCACGACTTCTACTGCAGCAAGCTCCTGGACCTGGTGTTCCTGCTGGACGGCTCGGCCAAGCTGTCGGAGGCCGAGTTTGAGGAGCTCAAGGGCTTCGTGGTGAGCGTGATGGAGCGGCTGCACATCTCGCAGAAGCGGATCCGCGTGGCCCTGGTGGAGTTCCACGACGGCTCGCACGCCTACCTCGAGCTCAGGGCCCGCCGGCGGCCGTCGGAGCTGCGGCGTGTGGCCAGCCACGTGAAGTACGTGGGCAGCCAGGTGGCGTCCACCAGCGAGGTGATGAAATACACGCTCTTCCAGATCTTCGGGCAAATCGATCGGCCCGAGGCCTTGCGCGTCACGCTGCTCCTGACCGCCAGCCAGGAGCCGCCCCGCCTGGCCCGCAACCTGGTCCGCTACGTCCAGGGCCTGAAGAAGAAGAAGGTGGTGGTGATCCCCGTGGGCATCGGGCCCCATGCCAACCTGCGCCAGATCCGCCTCATCGAGAAGCAGGCCCCCGAGAACAAGGCGTTTGTGCTCAGCGGGGTGGGCGAGCTGGCGCAGAGGAGGGACGACATCATCAGTTACATCTGCGACCTGGCCCCCGAGCCCCTGCCCCCCACCCAGCCTCCGCCCCAGGCCCAGATCACCACGGCCAGCCCGGAGATCTCGGGGAGCCCCTCCCCAGGATCCCACAGGAAGCCCCTGGTCCTCGACGTGGTGTTCGTCTTGGAGGGCTCGGACCAAGTCGGCGAGGAGAACTTCCAGAAGAGCAAGGAGTTTGTGCAGGAGGTGGTGGGCAGCCTGGCCGTGGGCCCCGACGGCGTGCACGTGTCAGTGCTGCAGTACTCGAACTCGGTGATGGCTGAGTACTCCTTCAACCACACCCAGACCGCGGACGAGGTCCTGCACAGGCTGCGGGAGATCCCGTACCGGGGCGGCAACCGCACCAACACCGGCCTGGCCCTCGAGTACCTGGCCAGCCGCAGCTTCTCCCCCGGCCACGGCGACCGCGAGCAGGCCCCGAACCTGGTCTACATGGTCACGGGGAACCCCGCGTCCGACGAGATCCGGCGGCTCCCTGGAGACATCCAGGTGATCCCCATCGGCGTGGGCCCCCATGCCGACGTGCACGAGCTGGAGAAGGTGGGCTACCCCAATGCCCCCATCCTCATCCAGGACTTCCAGAAACTTCCACGGGAGGCTCCTGACCTGGTGCTCCAGAGGCTGCAGCTCCCCATGCTGCCCCCTCCCCTGGGTAAGCTGTGTATGCGGAGGGAGGAGACGGGGTGGGTGGGGGGAGCCCAGCATCCTCAGCACAGCTGGCCACAGCTGGACTTCGCATCGCAGCTTTCCACCCTCTGCACAAAACTCCGGCCTCAGGTGGGCCTGCTGCATCTTCCAGTTTAAATGAAATTCCATTTAACAAGTTAAATGCAGCCGGGCGCCGGTGGCTCCCGCCTGCCATCTCAGCGACTCAGGAGGCTGAGATCTGAGGATCGTGGTTCGAAGCCAGCCCCAGGCCAAGAAAGTCTGTGAGACTCTGATCTCCAGTGAAGCACCAAAAAGTCAGAAGTGGCGCTGTGGCTCAAGTGGTAGAGCATTATTCTTGAGCTGAAGAGCTCAGGGACAGTGCCCAGGCCCAGAGTTCAAGCCCCCTGCCTGGCAAAAGAAAATGCATTTAGGCCTGGAAAAATGGCTTAGTGGTAGAGCGCTTGCCTAGCATTCATGAAGCCCTGGGTTTGATTCCTCAGTACCACATAAGCAGAAAAAGCTGGAAGTGGTACTGTGGCTTAAGTGGTAGAGTGCTAGCCTTGAGCAAAAGAAGCTTAGGGACAGTGCCCAGGCCCTGAGTTCAAGTCCCAGGACTGGCAAAAAAAATGCATTTAAAAGACTTAGGCTACAGGTGGTGGACAGAGGGGTGACAGTCACAGAGGCCAGGGCATGAGCACATTTCTTTTTGGACCCTGTCCCCCCTTCTGTCCTCTCTCCCATCCCCACTCATGAGTGGCAGAGTTCATTCTCGACCTCGTGTCCAGTGAGGACCATGGCTGCCTTTGTCCCCCCTCACCCTCCCAGAGACAGAGAAACCAACCTACAAGACAAAAAGGAAAGAAAACACCAACAAACAACAAAGCAAAGCCTCTTGTTTCTATTTCCTGGTGCTCGTTCGGATAACTGTGCTTTCATACGACCAGCTGCACACGGGCAGGGGGCCTTGTGTTCCTGTCCTAACCATCTCCTCCTTTGCTCTCACTGTACATGAATGCTCAGCGTTCTGCGCCATGGACCCTGTCCAGTGTACTAGTTTTTAACCATCCAGCGTGCTTGCGTGTAGATTTACAGGTACATTCTAGCTACCACAAATGAGGGGAACATGCCACCTATGTTTCTTTAGGTCTTTGCTTAGTATAACTTTCCCAGTCTTTCCATTTCCTGACAGATGTCAACAGCATCATTGGTTCGCTGTGCATCGATGCCAGGTTTTCTTGATCCAGCTGTCCCCGGAGGGGTCTCGGGGTGATTCGGTATCTTGGCTGTGGCTAACAATGCTGCAGTGGACACGGCTGTGCATTTCCATTCTCTCTCCCGCTCTTTTTCTTTCTTGTCTTCATCTCCTGGGGGTTTTGGTAAGTCTTGTTTTATAGGATCGGAGGCACCAGACGTTGGTCCCTGTGTGCTCCTCTCCTAAGAGTCTAGAGTCCTTCCTATTTTGTTTGGTCGGTGGTGGGTCTTGAACTCGGGGCCTGGGCACTGTCCCTCAGCTCTTCAGCTCAGGCTGGCGCTCTACCCCTTGAGCCTCAGCGCCACGTCCGGTTTTCTGGTGGTTCATGGGAGATCAGAGTCTCAGGGACTTTCCTGCCCGGGCTGGCCTCGAACCGTGATCCTCGATCTCAGCCTCCCGAGCCGCTGGGATGACAGGCGGGAGCACCTGCGCCTGGTTTGCGACCAGAACCGCCCCCCCCCCCGTTGCCCGTCTTCCTCCTCCTCCTCCTGCTCTTCCTCTTTATCCTTTCTCTTCTTCCTCCTGCTTTTCCTTCTCTTCCTCCTCCTCTTCCTCTTCCTCCTCCTGCTCCTCCTCTTGCTCCTCCTCCTGCTCTTCTTCCTCTTCTTCTTCCTCCTCCTCCACCCTAACATCCTGAAGATCATAGCTCTGTGTATGGCCACTGTCCACCCCTTCCCTCTCTCCCCTTCTCCTCTTCGGCTCTCTCCTCCTCTTCCCTCCTCTTCCCTTCCTCCTCCTCCTCTTCCTCTCTCTCCTCTCTCTTTCTCCCCTTTTCCCTCCCGTCTCCCCTTCTCCCCCTTTCCTCCCTCCCTCCTTCCCCCTTTCTCTGTTGCTTCCTCCGGCAGTCTTATTAGGTAGCCTAGGCTGGTCTCATTATGTAGCCTAGGCTGGTCTTGAGCTGACCTTGAACTCAGAATCCTCTGGCCTCTACCTCCCAGTACTGTGATTACACCTTCTTACCTGGCTACACTCACGCTTTTATTTTTTTTGGTCTGTTGTGGGGCTTGAACTCAGGGCCTGGGCGCTGTCCCTCAGCTCTTTTGGCTCAAGCTAGTGCTCTACCACCTGAGCCACAGCACCACTTCTGGCCTTTTCTGCGTCTGTGGTGCTGAGGAATCGAACCAGGGCCTCGTGCATGCGAGGCGAGCGCTCTACCCCTGAGCCACCTTCCCAGCCCACACTCACTCTTAACCCAGGTTACACACGGAGAGTTTTAGAAATGCAGCAGCCGCCCATCTGACACCCAGGGCCCCAGGTGAGGCCCGCTGTGCCGCACGGCTGGGTGTTCGTGTCGTTAGCTTCCGGCTGGAGTGGAGGGGGCGGGGCCCAGTCACTGGCCCCAACCCCAGCAGCTGTCTCCAAGGCGGAGCTCTCCCTTCTCCCTGACACACTCTGCGTGTGACACACACTCTGCGTGTAACCACTGCTGTCACCAGAATTGTCCACCTTCACGGGGCGTGTCTGAAGGAACAGGATGGTCTCCTCCTAGCCTGGTGTCCCCTGTCTCCACTGCGAACATCTCGTAGGCTTTTTTTTTTTTTCTTTTTGGGTCCGGTCGTGAGGCCTGAACTCTGGGTCTGGGCACTGTCCCTCAGCTCTTCAGCTCAAGGCTAGCGCTCTACCACTTGAGCCACAGCGCCACTTCCGGCTTTTTTCTTTTTGATTATGTGGTGCCGAGGAACCAAACCCAGGGCCTCGAGCATGCAAGGCAAGCGCTCTACCACTGAGCCACCTTCCCAGCCCTCGTAGGCTTTTTTTAATATCATGCTGACTGAGGACAAGATTAGGTGCCTGATCCATGGTGGAGAACTTCTAGAAGACGGGTGGAGGACTTCCAGATGATAGGTGGAGGATTTCCAGGTGATAGATGGAGAACTTCGGGGTGATAGATGGAGAAAACTTTTCAGGTGTTAGGTGGAGAACTTCGGGGCGACAGGTAGAGCGCTCAGGGAGGAACCCAGGGCTTCTTGGTGCTGGTTTCAGGGTCGGTTGGAATCTGCGTGGATGAGGACGGCAATGAGAGGCGGGTGAGTGTTCTTTGGGGGCTCCCGGGGGGAGGCGGGCCACGCCCGTTGGGGCCTCTTGCTCTCTGTGGTGGGCTCCCCGCGCCCAGCGCTCTCCTGCTTGCTCCTGTCCCATTCTGGGGGCCCGCCCGAGAATCTGCCATTCTGGGTCCGGTCTCCTGTACCACCTCCTTTAGCCCCCGTCTCTGTGGCCCCCAGCGGTGCTCAGAGCTAGAAGGCTGGATCTGTGCCCGGCCCGATCTGTATTTTCTCCCACAGCCTGGGGACGTGTGGACTCTCCCGGATCGGTGCCACACGGTGACCTGTCAGCCCGACGGCCAGACCTTGCTGACTAGCCACCGGGTCAACTGTGACCGGGGCCCCCGGCCTTCGTGTCCCAACAGCCAGTCCCCGGTGCGGGTGGAGGAGACCTGTGGGTGTCGCTGGACCTGCCCCTGTGAGTTCTTCTTTCTCCACCTCCCCGCTGGGCTGGGAAGCTGGCCATGCAGGAAGCTAGAGCAGACTCCAGGTGCCTTTCCCAACAGAAAGCTGCTCTGCTGAGACCAGCTGTCACACCAGAACCCTCAGGCTGGTTGCCTGTGCTCACGCCTGTCATCCCAGCTGCTCAGGAGGCTGGGATCTGAGGATCGCAGTGGGAGGCCAGCCCAGGCAGAAAAATCTATGAGACTTTCCTCTGAGGCTCTTACCCCCAGTTACCCACCCGAAAAGCAGAAGTGGGGCTGTGGCTCATGAGCTAGAGCACCAGCGTTGAGCAAAAACAGCTCAGCAACAGCGCCCAGGCCCTGAGTTCAAGCCCCAGGACCAGCGCCCATAAATACATAACTAACACATTCTGTGGAAGGGTAGTTCCAGGGTGTGCTACATTTTCTTGTAATGTACATCTAAACCTTTTCTGGGAAGATACTGTCCAAGCCGAATCTACCTAAACCTGTATCCCTCGGTCTCTGCTCCCTGGTCTAGGGAAAGGCAGGTCCCAGGCGCTAGGGGCCTCCGAGGGGCAGCCAGTGTGGGTGTCGGGGGGAGTTGAGGCAGTGTCTAGCTGGTCCAGGCGGTGGCGGGCACGGGCTGGGGTGCAAGCCCCCCATCCCCGCCCCGCTCCCGTCAGGTGTGTGCACGGGCAGCGCCACCCGCCACCTCGTGACCTTCGACGGGCAGAACTTCCAGCTGACCGGCAGCTGCGCCTACGTGCTCTTCCAAAGCAAGGAACAGGGCCTGGAGGTGATCGCCCGCAACGGGGCCTGCGGCCCGGCGCCCAGACAGATGTGTGTGAAATCCATCGAGGTGAAACATGGCGGCATCTCGCTTGAGCTCCACGACGACATGGAGGTGAGGTGGGGGACTCGGGGGGTCCCGGGCAAGGCTGGACACAGATGCTGGGGTGAAGCTGCTTTTTCCTCCCCTTTGTTCCTATCCTGGGACTTGAACTCAGTGCTTTGTGCTCTAGTTTGGCTGTGTGTGTGTGTGTGTGTGTGTGTGTGTGTGTGTGTGTGTGTGTGTGTGTGTGGCTGGTCCTAGGGTTTGAACTCAGGGCCTGGGCACTGTCCCTGAGCTTTTTTGCTTAATACTTGGGCTACAGTGCCACTTCTGGTTTTCTGATGGTTCATTGGAGATAAGACTCTCACAGACTTTCTCAGCTTTGAACCTGGATCCTCAGATCTCAGCCTCCTGAGTAGCTAGGATGATAGGTGTGAACCACTGGTGCTTGGCTCACTTGGCTGGCTGGCTGGCTGGCTTCCTTCCTTCCTTCCTTCCCTCCCTTCCTCCCTCCTTCCCTCCATTCCTTCCCTCCCTCCCTCCCTCCCTTCCTTCCTTTCTTCCTTTTCTTCTGGCACTCTACAGCTTGAGCCATACCTCCAGTTATGGATATATTTTTGCTGGATAACTGGAGATCAGAGTCTCACAGATTTGTTTGCCTGGGCTGGCTTTGAACCGTGATCCTCAGATCTCAGCCTCCTGAGTAGCTGGGATGACAGGCGGGAGCCACCAGTACCTGGCTAGCACAGCTGTTTCTGTCACGTACGAGGTAGTTAGGGACTGGACCTTCTACCATGAGCCGCCGATGGCCTTCCAAAGGCGTCGCTCACAGCATCTCATTGTCTCCTCTCTATGGTCTTGGCATGCTGTCTTGTCATTTCGGGTCTACATTTGGGTGAGTGACTCAAGTTTAGGGATTCCGTGCCAGTTTGTGGCTCTGGTAGAGAGCTAGGTTGGCATCAAGATGATGCATTTTTCCGAAGGGAAATAGATGTGGCTTGAATCAGGGCCTTGGGAAAATATTTTGGGTCTCAAACAAAAATGTATGACTCTTCACATTCAAACAGGGAACTGGCGGAGCACTATAAATAAGTGGTGGATTAAATGTTTGCAGAAAAAAAAAAGGTTACGCGTGATGCCAACATTGCTCCTCGTTCATCTCGCAATCATAAACGTTTCATCGCGTGAAAACAACTCCTAAGCTAGCGCGCTTTTTTCTCACTTCGTAAGAATTCCTGAATCGGAACAATAAATGGCTGACAAACCGTAGTGAGCCATATATCAACCGAATTGCTCGTAGCCAAAAAGAGCTTAAAAAAATATCAAAGTGATTTAAAAAATTAAAAAAAAAACCCTTCCAGAAATTTTGTTCTACAGCAAAAATTCACTGCGGGTGTAAGTGCATCTCAATGTACTTGATATGATGTATGGTAGGGATCCCAAAGAGTGGCTAGCAAGGATTTTATTTTATTTTTGGGTGCTGGTCCTGGGGTTTGAATTCAAGGCCTGGGCACTGTCCCTAAGCTTTTTTTTTTTTTTTTTCTGCTCAAGGCTAGCGCTCTACCATTTGAGCCACAGCTCCACTTCCAGATTTTTGGTGGTTCATTGGAGATCAGAGTCCCACAGACTTTCCTGCCCAGGCTGGCTTTGAACCTTGATCCTCAGATCTCAGCCTCCTGCGTAGCTGGGATGTCAGGCATGAGCCACTTGGGGCCTGGCCTTTTTTGGGGTTGCTTCTACTTAGGGAGTCACACAGTGTCCAGATTCCCTTTGAGCCCTGGGCTGTCAGGCTCCTGACGAATGACTGTCTACTGGACGCTCATAGCCATCAAATGTCCAGCCCCATGCTTCCCCCTTGGTTTTACAAGGTTTGGGGCGGAGCCTGCAGCTGGCTGAGCCAGATCTCTCGTCATCTTCGGGCAGGTGTCGGTGGACGGGAGACTGGTTCCAGCCCCGTACGTGGGTGACCACGTGGAGGTCAGCATCTACGGTGCCATTATGTACGAGGTCAGATTCAACCAGCTGGGCCACATCCTCACATTCACCCCTCAGAATAACGAGTTCCAGCTGCAGCTCAGCCCGAAGACCTATGCTTCGAAGACGTACGGTCTCTGTGGTAGGAAACCCTTCCCTCATGGTCGGTCTTCCTCACTGGGCTCCCAGCGATGCGAGATGCTTGCGTGTCTGGATGGAGTCACACGCGCCTGGCCAGCAGGGGTCAGATCCTGGTGGAGGCCGGCTCTGTCCCTGGGCAGCTCCGGGCCGGCCTGTGACGCTGCCCGCCATCTCTGTCTCCCTTGGCATCTCTAGGGATCTGTGATGGGAACGCGGCCAATGACTTCGTGCTGAAAGATGGCAGCGTCACCACAGACTGGAAGGGGCTGGTCGAGGAGTGGGCCGTGCAGCAGCCGGGGTACCCCACCTGCCACCCCGTCCCCGAGGACGCGTGTCCCGTCTCGGATGGCTCCCGCTGCCAGCTCCTTCTCTCGCCGCTGTTCGCCGAGTGCCACCAGGTCCTCGCCCCCGCCACGTTCCATGCCATCTGCCAGCAGGACAGTTGCCACCAGGAGCGGGTGTGCGAGGTGATCGCCTCCTACGCCCACCTCTGTCGCAGCCATGGTGTCTGTGTCGATTGGAGGACAGCCGACTTCTGTGGTGAGTCCCCACATGCACCCCCCAAAAAAAAACAACATCCTGGACCCTGTTTTGTCCTGTCTGGGCTGCAGATCCGTTTTGTATTTTGTCAGTCGTGGGGCTTGAACTCAGGGCCTGGGCGCTGTCCCTCAGCTCTTCAGCTCAAGGCAAGCGCTCTACCACTTGAGCCACAGCGCCACTTCCGGTTTTCTGGTGGTTCATTGGAGATCAGAGTCTCATGGACTTTCCTGTCCAGGGCAGGCTTTGAACTGTGATCCTCAGATCTCAGCTTCTTGAGTAGCTAGGATGACAGGTGGGAGCCACCGGTGTCCACCTGGGCTACAGATCCTTTATTTGCCTAATGGAGATCAATTACCCCCTTCCCCCTCCTGGTATTTCCTGTTCCCCTCGGTTCTAGTCAAGATCACATAAATGGTAGCTATGGCAGCACTTGGATGTACAGTTTCAATGTAAATCCCAGCACAGTCCTCTCTATTAACATTTATTTACTTACCTATTTCTTTCTGGGGCTTGAAGTCAAGGCCCTGAACACTTGCTTAGCTTGTTTGGCTCCAGGCCGGTGCTCTACTACTTAAGCCACAGCTCCACTTCTGGCTTTTTATTTTTTGGTGATTCCTTGGAGATGAGAGTCTCATAGATTTCTGGGGGGGCTCCCAACCCCAGTCCTCAGGTCTCAGCCTCTTGAGTAGCTAGGAGGACAGGTGTGAGCCACTGGTGCTGCTGAATTCAATCTATTACTTGTTTCACAACTTGCTCACATTTGCATGAGTTGTGGGCATCATGGAAGAAAGGAGTGGCCTTGTAGCTCCTCTCCTTAGGCCACTGTGGATTTCTTACCTTTTTTTTTTTCATAACAGACCTGGGCTTGAACTCAGGGCCTGGGTACCTACCTTGAGTTTCTCTGCTCAAGACTAGCGCTCTGCCACTTGAGCCAGAGCTCTAATTCCAGCTTTTGGCTGGTTCACTGGAGGTGAGAGTTTCATAGACTTCAAATCACGATCCTCAGATCTCAGCCTCCTGAGTAGCTGGGATGACAGGTGTGAGCCACTGGTACCTGGCACCTTATTTAACTTTAAGAGGTTCTTAAGGCGTCCGATGCATTTTTACTTCAAACAAAACACCACATGGTTGATATGTAGTATGTCAGGACAGTGGTATCTGGCTGCCAGGTAGCAGAGAAATAAAATGCGCACCCACTGATGCAGAGTGCGGTGTTTCCCCCTCATAGCTTATGATGGAGATCTAACCCTCAGACACATGCTTCAGCCGGCAGGATGGGGTAGGGGGGAAAAGGGACAAGTACCAATAACAGACTGGTCTGCCAGCTGGATACTACCTTCCCCTCACAGCCCATTGGGCAGAACTCACGTCACATGACCACACTTAGTTGCAAAGGCCATTGGGAAATGTAGTCTTCACATAGTTGGTGTGCCCAGCGAAGCATTCTGTTTTCTGTGGAAGATGTCGCGGTTGAACACTGCTGGAAAACTAGTCATCTTATCTCCACCCTAGCAAATCTGTCAGGTGATCCGCCGCCTCAGATCAGCTGATGGCGGCCTAATGAGAATGAGCGCATTCTCTGTCCACAGCTATGTCCTGTCCGCCATCGAAGGTGTACAAGCACTGCGAACACAGCTGTCCCCGGCACTGTGACGGGAACTCCTCCTCCTCCTCCTGTGGCGACCATCCTGCAGAAGGCTGCTTCTGTCCCCCGAACCAGGCCGTGCTGGATGGCAGCTGCGTCCCCGAGGAGGCCTGCACGCAGTGCGTGGGGCAGGACGGAGTCCGCCACCAGGTAGGCGCCTGGGATCCTACCTCCCACGGGCGG